TGAAGTATTAGTACCGCTTTATAAAGCCTTAGTAAGGCCACATCTGGAATGCTGCATCCAGCTTTGGTCACCGCATTACAAAAAAGATTGCAAAGAGCAACTAAAATAATTAAATGCCTGCAAGCTAAAAGATATGAAGAACGGTTGCAAGAACTGGGCATGGCTCTCTAGTGAAAAGAAGGACTAGGGGAGACATGATAGCAGTATTTGTTTCCGGAAGTGGAGGCGGGACTTGGCGATAGCTCTTCCATTTTCTTTTGAATGGACCGCCCCAAGGTGTCTTCCTGCCAATCGCTGCCCTCCCCAAAGCGACCAATCGGCGTCCTGCTTCCGTCCAGCCATGAGCCATACAAGAGAAGAATAAAAGGGAAAAGAATGTGTACATCTGGGCAAAACACTTACTGCATTGCACACCAAAGCTCCCTGTGGCTCAACCACCTGCCTGCCCCCCCCAGCCCAAGGGCAAAGCCCCCTCCTCAAAGAGGTATGGGACATTTGTTGGGTGAGGCACAGAAATCTCTGGGTGATGCTGTTAGAGAGGGGAGGGGTCTGCAGCTCTCTTGGGGGCAACATGTAAGCAATGGGCCAACGCTGCCTTTCCAATTCCAGTCCCTGCCCTGCTCCAGGTGCTAAAGAGGCTGGACCTCAATTAACCTTTTCCCAGAGCAGCCATTAATCAACTGAGCAGAGGAACCATCCTCAAGTCAGACCCAACAGCCTGTGTCTTCACAACCACCTTCGAAGCATTTTCTGAACAGCGATACAGACTGAGCTAGAGTCAGTCTGTATCGCTGTTCAGTGCTAGACAGCATCTCTTACATTTCCTGGTGGTCCCCCATCCAATTGCCAACTGAGCCTAAACAACCTTTACAAATCATCCAAAGTTGTCCAGGTACAGACTGAGAGTCACCTGCCTGGAGATGGTTCCCTGTGGACGCTACCTGGGCGAGTCCCTGCAGTAAGCCTCAATGGAAAGGGAAGCTCTCACAGTAGCTCTCACTGCTCAGTTTGGCTACTCTTATGCCAAGTTAAGTTGCCTTCCAATCATCTTTGATCGCATCCTGCGAAACATCCAATGGTGGTGACCGTGTCCCGACTCTGAAAGGTTTCAAGGGATCCCAAATGCCCCTCCTGGTCGTAGCCACCACCAGAAAGCGTTTCTCCTCAAAGAGTCCATGGACAGTGGGGAGGGGGCATGCCCGGGGACCCGGCTGCCGGTGCAAACAGCCCCAGCCTTTGCTTCGGGCCGCAGTAGGGCCGCAGTAGAGGTCTCTGTGCTGTGAGGCCAAAGCCCCACTCCAGTCTCTGCGGCAGAGAGGAAGGTCAGCTGGTGGAGAAGGCCAGGCCCGTCCCTCTCTCCAGGCAGCAGCAGAAGAACAGGGCAAGAGAAAAAGCTGCTGCTGGGATCGCCTTGGCCGGTTTACTTGAATGTATCACTAATTTATTGTTTTTGAAGGGTGTCGCTTGCGATTTGTTGAAAGGGAGGATGGGGAAAGGAAGCAAAAATTTTTTTTAATTCTTTTCCTTCCTTCTGAGACGTCGAAAGAGCTGCCAAATTAATTCAAAAACAGATATCTTGGAGTAGAGAGAAAAGAAAGTTGTTTAATAAACTTTTGTGAGCAAAGTTCTTTGGAAATTGTTTTCTCCACCATCCAGGACTAATACAGATGTCGGAGGGGGACAATCGAAAAGGACCGGCTGCCTATACATTAACGCCCAAAGTATGAAGAGTAAATAGAGTGAACCTGAAGTCCTAGTTCATGGGAGCAAGTATGGACCTGCCCCAGCGGACTGCCCCCCCCCCCAGTCATAAGGGATTTGCCCAGCGCCCAAATTGTGATCACACAATGGGAGGGGCAGGTGTTGCAGTGGCCATAACTTTGGGTATAGGTCATAATTCTGAAAGACTCACTCTAAATCAGACATGTCAAACACAAGGCCCGGGGGCCAGATGCGGCCCGCGAAGTGGTTTCATGTGGCCCGTGAAGCCATCCTGGAAACAGTGAGGGAACGGCCCCCACTGCCTTGGCCCTGGCCCAGGCCAGCCAATGTACAATTTTGCGGTGGCCATCTATGCTGAAACGCATTCAGTCTTAGCGCCACAAGGCCGTCTGGAAACAGCGAGGAACCAGCTCCTGCTGCCTCAGCCCCGTCCCCTGGGTGCATGCTGAGGTGTCATCCTTTGTGAGGAATGAGGAAATGCACCATCGCTTGGAAGTGGTCAGCAAATGGCCCTCTCGTACTTCACATATCCGGCTTGATCGGCTCCGGCAGAGGGGTTTCGGCAGGCAGCGGGGCGCTCTTACAGCACCGAGAGGCTGAGCGGGGCAGCGCAAATCCAAAAAGAAATGCAAGGCTGCCCAGCTCCCAGCCTGCCCAGTTTCAGCAGGCAGTGGGGCGCCCTCCTCCCAGTGAGGGTCCTCCAGTGGACCATGCCTTGGCGCTTGCCCCGGTCCCACCCCCTTCTCCCAGACTCTCAGATCTGTCCCACTCCTGCCCAGGCCCCCGCAGGCACCCTTGATGCGAACGATGTAGAGCTGGCCATGCCCACCCAGTAGGCCACACCTACCCCATCCACACCAACCCTGGCCACATCCACCTGGCCCCCCAAGGGCAACCGCAATGCAGCCCTCAATGAAATTGAGTTTGACACTCCTGCTCTTAAGTTGAGCTGTAAGCTGTATTTGCAGCATTACTGCCACACGGTCGGGAGAAATAAAATTACTGTTCAGGAATAAAAGCAGTCTGAGTGATGGGTGTTTCGCATTGTGAAGATCCTGGGATGGGGGGCTGAGCAAAGCTACTATGGCCTTAATTATGTCGTGCACATTTGGGAGTACAAGGTCGGCATTCTCCTTCAAATACACAAAGTTACACAAAGCTTTGTCGGCCTTAAGAGAATCTCCTGTTTCTGCTAAAAAGCTTTAAAGGGGATCATTGAGGGCATCCAATTTAGAGTTTCAGATATCTGGTGATGGTCTTACATGGTGCTTTCAGAGAAGCAACCTAGAACTAAGGAGAAACTTCCTGACAGAACAATTAACCAATGGAACACCCTGCCTCCAGAAGCGGTGAATGCTCCAACACTGGAAGTTTTTTAAGAAGAGACTGTCCGAAATGGTGTAGGGTTTCCTGCCTGAGCAGGGGGTTGGACTCGATGACCTCCAAGGTCCCTTCCAACTTTATTATTATATCAAACAGGGAGCAACTCTTTCACACCCACAGCAATGAAGGGCAAATTAGCCCTAGATTCAGCCATGACACACGTGTTCCAATTAGGCACCGAGTAGGGTGATCATTTTAAGTCAATTTATTAGAGTATTATAGCAAAGAGGTTTTTCTTAATGAAAAGAGGGAATCCAGGACACAGAACTGAGTTTCATTTTACACTCCATACAGTAGAAAAAGTACAAAACAAGACTTGATTGGATGGGAGAAATCATCCTGCTCAGTCACATCAGAGACGTGGACAGTAACATCCCATAATATTAAGCCTAACTGACATGAGCATTGCATGTCAGTTATGCATTACATTGCATGTCAGTTATGCATTACATTGCCGAGGTGGCGCAGCAGTTAGAGTGCAGTACTGCAGGCCACTTTAGCTGACTGTGTTCAGCAGGTCAGCGGTTCAAATCTCACCGGCTCAAGGTTGACTCAGCCTTCCATCCTTCCGGGGTAGGTAAAATGAGGACCCAGATTGTTGGGGGCAATGTAATATATATATATACATTGCTTACTGGTGTACACCGCTTAGAGAGTGCTTGCACTTAAAAGTGGTATATAAGTCTCCTAAATAAATAAATAAATTAAAAGGAGAACGTTCACACGGGAAAAGGCATCACGAGTCACATTAGTTTGTGGAAAGGTACAATTTCAGCCAGATAAAACCTGTAAAAGCACGTACAATTGGAAAAGTCTTTTATTGTTCACCCTGAGAAAGTCCCTTATTTGGCAGTTATTATTTACCCTTATCTTCTTCACTCAACCATCCTATTGGAATTATATGATCGTCATTCTGTTGCTTTGTATGTACACGGAGAGCTAGTGCGCTTGAGACAAATTCCTTGTGTGTCTATTCACACTTGACCAAAGTAAGTATGCGATTCAATTCCTGAGATAAACACTGTGACTGAAGGTCTTCTCACATTCAGGCGTATTTATCATTTTTGTCTCACATGAATTTTTTGATGTCGAGGTAGGCCTCTATACTCAGTAAAGCTCTACCCACATTCAGCCTTTATTACAGTGTTTCTCAACCTTGACAATTTTAAGGCATGTGGACTTCAACTCCCAGAATTCCACAGCCAGCAATGCTGGCTGTGGAATTCTGGGAGTTGCAGTCCACATGCCTTCAAATTGTCAAGGTTGAGAAACACTGCGTTAGCACAACGTGCAAGCTGGCTAGAAAAACCTCCAAATGGAGCACGGCCACCTGGCAGTGCGAACGTGTCTTTCCTGGGACCCCCAGCAGAGAAGGAGCCACAGCTGCCGCCCCGATCCTCATTCGGGGGCCGCCCTGCCTGGCCTGCTTCCCACCACCACCCCGGCTTGATCCGGGGTCTCCGAGGAAGGGGGCCGACGGTTCCGGGGCTCCAGGGGTCAGAGCCAGCCTCCCTGCACGGACAGCCTTGGCCAGCAACGGCGGGGCGTCGGGTCCAAGCGGAGCGCCAGGAGGGCCCCGGGATGCGAGCCGTGGGCCCGGCCTCCTCCCGACTCCCCTGGATGGAATGTGCGAAGAGCTTCAATTGGAGGGAAAGGTTTTATACACATCAAAGAATCCACACTGGAGAAAAGCCATATAAATGCCTGGAGTGTGGAAAGAGCTTCAGTCTGGGGAGCAACCTTTATGTACATCAAAGAATCCACTCAGGAGAGAAACCGCATAAATGCCTGGAGTGTGGAAAGAGCTTTACTGTGAATGGAGCTCTATATCAACATCAAAGAATTCACACTGGAGAGAAACCCTATAAGTGCCCGGAGCGAAGCGAGAAGTACAGGTACAGAAAGATAAAACAAAATGAATTGGTTAAAATAATAAACTTTCCCTTTTACATGTTGCTGCCTGGGTGTGTGGAGGAAATACACCCAGTTTTGAAAACCTGGATAGCTGCTATGGACACAGGCTGGTTTGGAGAGATCTTTGGAACTGGCAAAGGGAAAATTTTCTGCTTATGTTAGCATTTAGAGGTCTTTTGGTTTTTCCCATCTTTGATTCCTGTTATCAGTGTTTCAGCGTGCAAACATTTTCAGCTCCTCTGCTAGCATCTTTGAATGTAGCAATCTTAAGCCTGGGCTGTGCGTTGTCACCCCCTCTCTGCTGTCTTTCCAGACGTTTCTGTTCCTCCTCCAGCAACTGGCCAGTGAAATAACTCATGGTTACGTCCTTCTCTTGCATGGTCTCTAAACTGGTCACTAGAATGTCCCATGAATTGTCCAATGAACAGAGCACCAGGAGAGTTAGTTGGTCTCATTCAGCCAAGACACAGCGAAACCTCCTCCCATTACGCTGATGGAGGCCATGTTGCCTGCTTCTTCAAACCACCACAAACTACAACAAACCACAAGCCTCAACTCCTCTGGTTCTGGTACAAGCTTTCATTGGGTTTCTCTTCTCTCTGGGGCCATAAGCTGTCAGAGCGTGCAAACATTGCCTGAGGTAACCCAAGAGTAAACACAGTAAAGACAAACTTGTATCAAATGGTGGTTTACCTTACACTGTCTACAATATCATACACCAGGAACAAATATACATACACGTGCTAATACAGCAGGATCCAGCAAACAGCAGGAGGTGGAAGAGAAGAGAGAGAAAGACATTCCAGCAAAGCCTACCTTTTATATTCAGGCTCTTAAAGGGAGACAGACCATGCTGAGTCATTCCCATCATTGCACCATACACCTTTCATTAAAATTATATTACATAAGCTGTTCAACTATTAAATCAATACCTTGACAGTTGTGGTTTTTTTTATTAAAAAGGGAAAAAAGTATAAATAGAACACTGAGGGCATCCAAATGACAACTTCAGAATTTTAAATATCTGGGACTGTCCTACATGCTAGAGGCATTTGGAAAACCCCTATTGATTACATGAAAGAATTAGCACAGAGAAGTCTTTCATGACTAAGGCAAGGAATGTTATTTCCCGCAGCACTGAAATTTTGAGTTTATGGCCCACATACTTTACAGCCACATTGTTCCAATGATGGAGTGAATATCTTTGTGATAGTAACAGGGAATGGAATTGAATACAATTGCACTCATAGGTTTGCGCATCCTTTGCAGAATTTGCAAGAATGTGGATTATTTTGTAAGAAATATCGGACAAAACACTTAAAAACATGTAGTGTGGATCAAATTAAACTATTATGTCTCACAAGTTAGGACATTAAATCATCATAATACAAGAAATAGTAAAATGGTTGTTCCCACGACTGCATATCCTTGAACATTTGGGCCAATAATACTGTATACACTCACTTTATTGTTGAATGACAATAAAAAGTATCCACATCTCTTCCTTATTGCATCATAATTAGCTCTGTGATAAATATTTAAGGGGGTTCTTAGCACTAGAGCAGGGGTGTCAAATTCATGTCACGTGATGTGTCGTGACATATCCCGGCTTTTTTGCCATTGCTGACAAGGGGTGCATGTGGTTTTGCTATGATGCATCCGGCCCATTGGCTGACTTTTTGACACCCTTGCACTATAGAAACCGTTGTGCATGTCATCCAGGGCTGCACTGGATTTGCTGGCTACAATTGGCGGTATATTAGCCACGATTAATCAATTTCTGTTTATCTCCCATGTGGGTTATTGGGTGATTTTTCAGCTGCCTGTAAGGTCTTGTCTCAGCTAGTCCTTCAAGAAAGCAGAACTCTTGAATCAAGAGTCATTTCAAAAGGAACTTTTATTGAGAGATAGTGATTGCAGAGAAAGCAGGCAGGATCTAAAATTCCCGTGCGAAAACAACAGCTTAAAACCCACGTTTCAAAATCCTTCCCAACCGCCCAGTTTACAGGGAGCCAATGCAGAGGTGCAAAGGTGTTATGAGAACTCCGAACTGAGAAGGTAAGAAGTTGTTCTCAGAGGCTGAGATCCTCGGGAGCTGAGACAAAACAGATGGCCCCAGGCTCATCCTTCCCCCCTCCCATCCCCAGGAAGATAATCAATGGAAAAGAGGAACAGAGTAAAATGGATGCATCACAGAAAAGACCCCAAAGTCCCCCCTCCCGCCAGAAGGGCAGCGTCCCTATAGGGATCTATGGGGAGCTGACACTGCCATTTGTTCTGAAGGATTCAGCACACTCTGGGTGCATTTATAAACTTTCTGCTGAGTGTAAATTTGTAATTTTTATTGAGACCTATTTTGAGTGAACCTTTTCCACGCACCATGAATTTTTAGGGGTTTTCTCCCAGGTGAATTCAGATCAGGAAGAATTTCTCATTGTATTCACACACAGTACAGATTTGTGCTTGTTGTGAAGAATTCTCCACACTGAAGGCATTTATATGGTTTTTCCTCACGTGTGGATTCTTTGATGCTTAGAAAGACTTCCCCTCCCACTGAAGCTTTTTCCACACTCCAGGCATTTATGTTTTCTCTCCAATGTGAATTCTTTTTTTTTAAACAAAATTTTATTAAGTTTAGGTAAATAAGGAAAAATAGGAACAATACAGGTATGGTAAAGGGAGGGCGTGGGAGGGAAGGGGAAGGGAATAAAGGGTTTAGGGTAAAATAAGGATAGGTACAATCACATATTTCAACAAACAAGCTACCGTCTGGATCATAATAATGAGTAAATATAATATTCAACCATTTTTACCGGAGCTTAGACTATAACATATTAAAAACAGTTAATAAACAAATACGTTGATCTATTAAGTAAACGCTACTAATAAAATCTCAAAAACTCCTACCAATCAAAAGTAACAAATGAAAATCAGTAAATCAAGAAAAATAATCATATCATCAAAGTATTAGTTAGAACTCGGTTAAAAATCAGTCATCTATTCTAAAATATTGAATCCTTCAAGTTCTAACGTGTCTCTAACCATTGATAAAATTTTTCCCAAGTTCTAAACTAAATTGAATCATCTTTTTCTTTCATTTCTAATGTTAGTCTATCCATTTCTGCACACTCTAAAATTTTAGTAATTATAGTCTGGTCAGATGGTAAATTCTCATTTTTCCAAAATTGGGCAAACACTATCCTTGCAGCTGTTAAAACATGCAATATCAAATAGTCATTCTCTTTACCATAATTAGGTCTTAATATTCCTAACAAAAACAATTCCAGTTTAAATTCTATCTGTAGTTTCATCATCTTTTCCAACCATCTATGGATCTTAGACCAATATTTCTCAGCGATAGGGCATGTCCACCAGGCATGGTAATAAGTGCCTGGCTATTGTTTACATTTCCAGCAAATATCCGAATATTTTTAAATATTTTTCCAAGTGCTCTTAGGGAAAATATGTTTAAACATTTTCCCTAAGAGCACTGGTGTCATATGCCATCTATAAAACATCTTATATAAGTTTTTTTTATATAATATTTTTATCCCAAAGTTTTTGCCAGTCTTTGCCAGGTATTTATATGGTTTTTCCTCATGTGTGGATTCTTTGATTCTTAGTTAGAAAGACTTCCCTTCCCACTGAAGCTCTTTTCACACTCCAGTCATTTATATGTTTTTTCTCCAGTGTGAATTCTTTGATGTCTATAAAGATTTCCTCTCTGACTAAAGCTCTTTCCACATTCAAGGCATTTATATGGCTTTTCTCCAGTGTGGATTCTTTGATGTGTATAAAGGTTTGCCCTCGCACTGAAGCTCTTTCCACACTCCGGACATTTGTATGGTTTCTCTCCAGTATGAATCCTTTGATGTCTAGAAAGGTGTCCTGTGTAGATTCTTTGATGTTGACATACAGCTCCACTCACAGTAAAGCTCTTTCCACACTCCAGGCATTTATGCGGTTTTTCTCCTGTGTGGCTCCTTTGATGTCCATAAAGGCTGCTCCTTTGACTGAAACTCTTTCCACACTCCAGGCATTTATATGGTTTCTCTCCAGTGTGGATTCTTTGATGTGCATAAAGGCTGCTCCTTTGACTGAAACTCTTTCCACACTCCAGGCATTTATATGGTTTCTCTCCAGTGTGGATTCTTTGATGTGCATAAAGGCTGCATCTATGACTGAAACTCTTTCCACACTCCAGACATTTATGCGGTTTTTCTCCTGTGTGGCTCCTTTGATGTGCATAAAGGCTTCCCTTCTGACTGAAGCATTTTCCACACTCCAGACATTTATGTGGTTTCTCTCCAGTGTGGATTGTTTGATGTTGACGTAGGTGTTCATTCCGAGTAAAGCTCTTTCCACATTCTAGGCATTTGTATGGTTTTTCTCCAGTGTGGAGCCTTTGATGTGCATAAAGGCTTCTCCTCAGACTGAAGCTCTTTCCACACTCCAAACATTTATGTGGTTTTTCTCCTGAGTGGATTCTTAGATGTGTATAAAGTCTTCCACTCAGACTGAAGCTCTTTCCACACTCCAGGCATTTATGCGGTTTTCCTCCTGAGTGGATTCTTTGATGTGTATAAAGTCTTCCACTCAGACGGAAGCTCTTTCCACACTCCAGGCATTTATGCGGTTTTTCTGAGTGGATTCTTTGATGTGTATAAAGGCTTCCCCTCCGACAGAAGCTCTTTCCACACTCCAGGCATTTATGCGGCTTCTCTCCTGAGTGGATCCTTTGATGTACATAAAGGCCGCTCCTTTGACTGAAACTCTTTCCACACTCCAGGCATTTATGTGGTTTCTCTCCAGTGTGGATTCTTTGATGTGCATAAAGGCTGTATCTATGACTGAAACTCTTTCCACACTCCAGGCATTTATGCGGTTTTTCTCCTGTGTGGCTCCTTTGATGTGCATAAAGGTTTCCCTTCTGACTGAAGCATTTTCCACACTCCAGACATTTATGTGGTTTCTCTCCAGTGTGGATTGTTTGATGTTGACGTAGGTATTCATTCCGAGTAAAGCTCTTTCCACATTCTAGGCATTTGTATGGTTTTTCTCCAGTGTGGAGCCTTTGATGTACATAAAGGCTGCTAC